ACATCCGCCTTGGCACAGGGGAGGGCCAGCCCCAACGAGGAAGGGCCTCAAGCAGGTGGATTGACAGGGGCAGCAGTGGACACAATCACAGCAGCCACGCTGAGGGCGGTGCGGGACTGGGCGGTGTTTCCCCCTGTTGTCCACTGAGGCCACCCCGAGTTTGGATCGGACCCCACCACAAACGTCAAGAGATTTTGGAAAAGCAGTTGCCGGGGAGGGCATCCTGTTTGCCTTTCTTCTCTCGCCCACCCCCATTCCTTTAGGGGTGCCGCTTATTCTTCCTGCCTTCCCCTTTTGGGGGAATCCCACAGCCCACCTGGCCTGGCCGTCCGCTCCTCTCTGCACTCCCTCCAGCCCGCTGTGTTCGATTTCCAAAACCCTCTGCTCTCCCGAGGAAGCTTTGTGCATGCTAGGGCTCCCTGGGGTGCTGCTGGGCCTAGAAGAACCGGGGTGACGCTAGGAGTGTCCCCAGTGGCCCATCAGGGGTGATGAGCGGGCTGCTGTCCAAAGGGTCTGCATCAGGACCCTGAGCATGGACATCATAGACCCATTTTCCCCAGGACGATGCCGCTGTAAATTTCATGGTGTATCATCACCCCGTTAAGAGACGGGCCGCCTTGCTTGGTCTCTTTGGGCTGATTTTATGTTATCGAAAAGATGGGGGTCCAGTATCTGGACAGGGGCTCTGCGTTCAGGGCTTGTCCAGGAGCTCGCTTGGGCCAAGGAGCTTTTACCTGCCGAAGTCTGTCCCAAGTGGAGCCGCAGGATGGGAAGGCCAGCGGGGGCGTGGCGAAGGGAGGGGGCGTGGCGACGGGGGGCGTGGCCAAGGGCGGGGCCGTTAGAGCCTCCCTCGGCCTTGCTGGCCACTCAGCCCCACTGGACCCTCCGATGGCCCCGCGCAGCTGCACCTGCTTGGGGAGGCGGCCGCGCCATCCGCGGGGCTCTCTGCCCACCGGGGGCTCCACGCAGACCGCACTGTTAGAGCCGGGTGCTGACAGTGCTGACCACCTCTTGCTGGTCGCCCCAGGCCGGCCTGGATTTTTTCCTGGAAGGGTGGGGCAGAGAGCAGTTAGTGACAGGCTTGGGGATTTAAGACAGCAGGGCGCCCTAGGGTTTCTGGGAGCCCTGGCGGCTCGGTGGTTATGTGCTGGGCAGCTACTTGCAAGGTCGGCAGTTCGAAACCAGGAGAAAGATGGAGTTTCCTACCCTTGTCTCGGAAACCCAGTTCTACCCGGTCCTGCAGGGTGGCTGGCTATCGGTGGGCATGGACTCGATGGCAGTGGGCTCCGAGTTTTTTTGTGTAACTCCTTAGGGGAGCAGGCAGCCTGGTTTTTCTCCCTTGAGGTGGCTGGTGGGTCTGAACCTCCCACTCCCAGCTTCCTCATAAGCCACAGTACCATGAGGGCTTGATATATAATCGATAATGAATGAATGAAATCGTTAAGGCCCCCCTTCTCAGCCTGGCACCCTTAGGCAAGTGTCACCTCTCTGTGGTTCCGTCCTCTGACAGTGAGGCTGGACATCACAGCGCCTGGGACGGCCCAGATCCGATGAAGCATTCAGACAGTAGGGGAGTACGGCTGGTCACTAGGCTCCTCCTGGAATGGTTTACTGCTGGGCCTGCCCTACCCTGTCCTATCGGGTCGCTGTGGGGTGTAGCCGACTCTGTGCCCGTGAGTGACTCATCCCGTTCGTAATCCTCCGAACATGACTCTGATGTTCCCCCACCTGGGGGCTTCTTCACGGCCACACCGCCACACCCCTCAGCAGCACGCATGTACCGATATATTTACAGGTAATAACCGTATAAGCCGAACGTCAGCAGAGGCACCTAATGTTACCACAAAAACTGCATTAAAACTGTGCTGAAAAACTCGGCGTATACAGGAGTATATGCGGTAGGCATTATTTAGATAGCTACAAAGGAGCTTTAAGAAGGTCGTAAAAAATGTTTTGACATTGATGAGGGCAAAAAATGTACAAATGTGCTTGACACAATGGATAGACGGATGGATTATTATAAGAGTTGTACGAGCCCCCAATAAAATGATAAATGATTTTAAAAAATGAAAAGATAATGGAATGTTTCCATGAAAAGTTTTAAGCTCCCTCGTAGGGGCTGCTGGTGGTGCTGCGGGTTGAGCTAACCGCACAGTTGTTGGTTCAAACCCACCAGCTGCTCCACGGGGGGAAAGATGAGGCTCTGCTTCTGTGAAGCTTTCCTACTGTTGCTGTCAGGTGCCCTTGGGCTGGTCCTGACTCACAGCGACCCTGTGCTCAACAGAAACAAGTGCCTCCCGGTCCTGCCCCTGCTCACAAGGGTCCTTATGCTTGGACTCATTGTTTCAGCTGCTGTGTCACCACGGCTTCTCTTTTTCAATGCCCGCTAACTCCCGCTGCTCCTGCTACCAGGAGGGCCCATACTAAGCTGTCTCCCTGGCCCTGTGGGTGGGCCTGCCCCCTCCCTTGTAGCCCGGGAAGAGAGCACGCCCAGCCCCCATCCTGTCCCTGTCCCAGGGCAGCCCGGTCACTCACTGGCGCTCCAGGCTCTGCACGGTGTCCGGGAGGGGCAGCCCCTGGGTCTCTGGGACGAGCAGCAGGAGGAAGCTGGAGGCGATGGGCATGACTCCGTAGGAGAGGGGGGGCAGCAGGGGCAGCGTCTGGCGGGTCATCTTGATCAGGGGGCCCATCACCCCCCCCAGGCGGGAGGCTGTCTGCAGGAGGCCTTCTGCCGTCATCCTGTGGGTGGAGGGAAGTGGGGGCTTGTGGATGGGGGGAGAGCCGTGTTCCAGCTGCTCCTGCCAGGGACATTAGCGCAGGAGGGTCAGCTCAGGTGGACCAGGGGATGCCAGGGAGGGAAAGCCAGGTTCAAGGCCACCTCGAACACCACTTCCTCTATGGGGCCCCTTGGTTTTCCCATCTAGACAGGGGAGCCCCCGAACCCCTCAGAGAGAAGTCTCAGAGCCTGTGTGGGGAGGCAGCTGGGTCCCCTCATGCTCGGCTGTGTCCCCCTTGGACACCTGCCCGTCCTGCCCCTCCTCCTTCCTGCCCTGCGGGCACCTGGCTGGGCCCCAGCCTACCTCAGCGAGGTGGGGAAGAGCTCGGTCCGGTAGAGGGCATAGCAGGTCAAGCTTATCCCGAAGCAGCCCTTTCCCAGCACGGCCAGGACCAGGCGCAGGGCCTGTAAATCTGGGGAACGTGGGGACCCCGTGAGAGGAGCCGGTGGGCTGGGGCCTTCCTGCCAGGGGCAGGGGCCTTTTCCCAAAGGCACCCGTGCACTGCCCCCAGGGGGGCCTACTAAGGGACTAGGTGAAAAATCAGAGATCATGTGAGTGGCGTGGTGGTAAGGCCAGCTCTGGGACAGGTGGGCAGTGATCCTGGCCTCCCCCCGATGGCCCGTGCCTGCCTAGGCCACAGCGAAGCCCCGGAAGACCAGGAGCTGAGCCGCCTTCCCACTGACTGCAGGAGGGGCCCTGGCCCTCATGGGGGACAGGTGGGCAGTGATCCTGGCCTGCCCCCGATGGCCCGTGCCTGCCTAGGCCACAGCGGAGCCCCGGAAGACCAGGAGCTGAGCCGCCTTC